ACAAAAACATGATGACAACATTTGCCAAAAAAAAAAAAACAAATGTGAATGAATGGAAAACCTTCCCATCATTGCTTTAGGTGTTATTCTGGGCCATATTTATATACATATATTTGATAATGATAATGGTGAGTGTTTTGGTATGGGTTTTTTCATTCTTCTTTTTTTTTCATTTCCGTTCGATGATAATGATGTTTGATAACCGATGTTTTTTCGTTCACCATTTTTTCGATTTCATATCAATATCTTCTGATTTTATCAGAATCAGTAGAAATGATCAAATTAAAAAAAAAGAATTTGTAAAACTTGTTTAATGATGTTTATCATCAACATTTTGCCATAATAATCGTTCGGAAAAACAGTACTACGAACAACAACAACAACAAAAATTTATTGATTTTTGGTCATGTTCCAAACAGAATAAAAACAAAAACATGATGACAACATTTGCCAACAAATCTAATGCAGCCATGAAATGAAAAACAAATGTGAATGAATGGAAAACCACCCTCCCATCATATTATGTTTGATTTTTCTTTGCTTTAGGTGTTATTCTGGGCCATATTTATATACATATATTTGATAATGATAATGGTGAGTGTTTTGGTATGGGTGGACGCAGGAATTTTTCATTCTTCAATATCAATACAACTAAACTTTTCATTTCCGTTCGATGATAATGATGTTGTTGTTGTTGTTGATGATGATTATGATTATTATGATGATGATGATGATGATTGGATGTTGTAGAAAAAGACAAAAAACAACAACAAGAACAGCAAAAAAACAACCACGAAAAAAAAATCTAGATTCAATAATAATAATATTATTATCATTATTAATAATGATGATAATAAACATTTTGTTCTGGTTGGTTAGTCGTTGTTGTCGTTGTTAGTTTTATCCACCATTTTTATCCAATTCTCTTGATATATTCAATTATGTTTAAAATTCTATGTGGTTGCTAATAATAATAATAATAATAATAACAATAATGCTAATGTTGTTTTTACAAATTATTTTTTTTTTTTTGGCCACCATTTCCTTGCTTGAAAAATTCTTTGCTTTTTTTCTATCATTCTATTCAAGTTTTACTTTGATTTTGATTCCTTCGTTTTTATCATTATCATCATCAATGAACATTCAATAGTTATATATACTTTAATCGATTTGTAATTTATCAATGATGTATCTGCATTCATTTATATTATAATTTTTATATACACACAAAAAAAAAAAAAAATAAAAGGTAATATAGGTAGTAGACATTGCCCGAAACGGTAAATGGGTCCCAACTAGAGATAGATAAAATGTTAAAGTATTACTTTTCTCTCCATTGCAACATCATTATCGATGAATGGTATATTCTGGAATTTTCTTTTTTTTTCATTTTGTTGTTGATAAAATAAATATGATTATTATGTAAAATATATTGATGATGAAGTCACCAACGAGAAAAGTAAAATTACAAATAAAGAGAAAAGTAAAAAAAAAATATATTTATATGCAGAAATTATCGATTCACCTGAAAAAAATATAAAAAAAAACAAAAACAAAAACAAATTCAAATTCAAAAACAAATTCAAATTCATTAAAATGGCAAACACATACGGTTAAATTTTTATACGAATAAAGAATCAGTGAAAAAAAAATCATCGAGAAAGTCAAATCAAATGAAATGGAATATAATTTATTTATTTATATGATCACGATATAATCAGCTGGTGACATATGACAGATTCTTTCAATCCATTCATTCGATTTAATATTCGATTTGATTTGATTTTTGTTTTTTTTTGCAGATGAGAATTTTTTTTTGTTCAGAATTCCAGGAATAGAAAATGAAATACTTATGTATCTCATCTAGTCATTTCACAATGTTTGTCATACATATATTTTATTTCATTGTTTTTTCTCTTTTTTTTCATTCATTCATTCATTTGTTTTCATCGAATTTCATATATGAAAACAAAATTGTCAAATTATTTATGTCATTGTTGTTGTGACAATCATTGTCTGTTTTTTTCCATCACTTTTTTTTATACCATGTTTTCTGTGTGTATAAATAATGTGTCTTCATATGATCAACTTATCTAATGAAAAACACACACACACACACACACACATGAACCGAACATGGGAAGCATACAATTTCTAAAACAAAACAAAAAAAAAAAAAAAAAATCTTCAAGTCCATTCTCGTTTTTTTTCTGAACAATCGATAATATATATGTACTCCGAATACATCCGATATGGTGTGTGTGTGTGTGTGTAAAAAGTATTTCCGAAAACATTAATATTTTTTTTTGCGTTTCTCGATCTCTTGTTGTCTTTAGGGTATAATATCAAATTGTCATTGGTTTTAATCAACAACAACAACAACAACAACAACAACAAATAATAATAATAATAATAAGGAACAGCGAATACAAAAAAAAAGGAATCGATAAAGATCCACTACTATTATTATTACTGTTACTGTTACAGTTACTACTACAACAACAAATTATTAGATCAACATCTTTCAGCACTATCATCAAGTTTATCATCATCATCATCATGGGGTATAGAATTTATATAAAGAATAAACAACAACAACAACAACAACAACAACAAAAACATAAACATTGCAATCGATAATTGAATTAAGTACCATTTACAAAGAATGTTTGTTTTTTCTTTTCATATCAAATGTTTATTTCTTCCTTTCTCTCTATATCCTTGTGTATGTGTGTGTGTGTGTGTTTGACATATATTCAAGTTGACAATGTGACAAAGTGAAAAAAGTTTTTTTTTTTTTGATCGAAAATTGATCGTAATCGATAAATATATTTTGTTTTATATATTGAAAACTGATATTGACATTAGACGACAAATTTGATTGATCGATTGACCAAAAATGTTGGTGATGGTGATGATGGTCAATCCATTTTGGGTGTTGAAATAGAGGAAATACATTAGACATTCTATGTCTGTGTGTGTGTGTGTGTGTCTGCATTTTTACGCATGGATTTGATTCTGATTTTGAATAAATTCTTTTGGTTACAGCAAAAAAAAAAATTACTAAGCCAAAATTTTAAATTATTCATAACGAACAAAATAAAAAGACCAAAACTGTCAAATTTTTTTTTTACTATGGAGATAATTTATCGTCATTATCATTTACAGCAGTGGAGAAAATGTTAAAAAAATTCGCAAAACCAAACCAAACTAAACCAGTCGCAGGTTTTTTTTCAAAATTTCATATTTCAAAATGTCAAATTAATTATTTGAAACTAAAAGAATAAAAAAAATCTGGCAAGAAAAAAAACCCTATAAATATCAAACTGGAGAAATGGAGAAAAAACAATAAAAATCAACGAAAACGGGGAAAAAAAATAATTCAAAAATCAATGTCATAAGGATTAGAAATTCAAATGTAAATGACATTGAATTGACATCATCTCTTAGTCAATCATTGAATCGAATTCTGATGATTCTCTCTCTCTCTCTCTTTCAAAAAAAACATTATTGCTTATCAAACTAAAATGATCAATCGAAAAAAAAGAAGAAAATTTACATTTCAAAAAAAAATCAAGTAAAGAATAAGGAAAAAAAATTCTGAAATTTGAATTCTAAACAAAAACACACACACACAGACAAAGATGGAATTTATGTTTTGATATCGATATATCGATCAATGTTTTTTTACTCTCTCTTTTCTCTACTTCATCATTGTATAGTTGTAGTTGTTGTAGCTGAACACATCCATTTATTCATAGTGAATGAATGAATGAATGAATGATTATTCAGACGATCAAGATTATCAAGAATTTTTTTTTTCGTTTTCCGATTTATGTTTGAATAATAAATAATAATAATAATAAATGAAAAAAATGCACACACACACACACACGCACACAGATTCTATTTATGGTCATCAATTGAATTTGAATGGAATGTAATGGAATCAAATCAATAAAAAAAAATGAACATGATAAATAAACATACAAACAGAAAAAACGATATTACCGAAATTCCACAAATCACCATCATCATCAAAAATCGATTTTGATGGACAACAAATCGGTTTTATATTTCTTTCTCTCTTGTTTGACGACAAATTTCGGATCGATGAAAAAAAATCAAACAGAAAAAAATCTTTTAATTAATTAGAAAAAAAAAAATTAAAACAGAAAAAAATAGAAATCAGAAGAAAGTTGTGAAAATCAATGGAACAAAAATTTGTTTTTTTTTGTCAAAAACACAACATCAATAACATCAATAAATTTGATATAATGAATGAAAAATGAAAAAAGAACGTAATAAAACATGGAAAAATCAATTCAATAAAAAAAATTGTCAAAATCAATGAAATGAAAAAAAATTTGTTTTGTCATAAAGAACACACTACTGGTTGATGGTTTTGTGTGTGTGTGTGTGTGTTGGTGTTTGGGTTTGGGTTCTCTGTTTTTCCTATCTTAGACAAGTATATTCATTGAAGCATCCATCGTGAATTGTGTGATGTATTGGTGAATGGCACCTCTGTAAAATGACATTCAAACGGTACCCAGTGATGTAATCCTGTCCATTATATGTCTTGTCAATATCGAAGATGGGAGTAGGGCTGATTATGGCGAAATCAATTAGTTCAATAAAACTTCATCCGTTGTCAAAATGAGAATGAAATGCAAAAAATTGACTTATTTAACCATGGAACAAACCAAGAATTTGAATTTATGTTCCATGATTGACAAATGAATAATTTGTAGCGTCATTCAATAATCAAATGGTTGCAAAAATATTTGCAAAAAATATTTCAATTTCATAACTGGTTAGCTGATAGACCATATATTATATAATATTCAATATTATTGTGTGTGATTCGATCCACTATTGGTACTAAAAGTCATAAAAGATAATTACGAATTTTATCTCTATTAGTCTATGTCGCTTGCGTTTGTGTGTATTTGCAACTTTTACACTCGCCAAGTGCTTGCACTGTGTGCTTGCATTGGGTATTAACTTGACAAAAGAAAAAACAGAAAAATTTTTTTTTAAAACAAATTTTTAAGACATTTTAGACATTTAAAACATTTTTATGATAATAATTTGAATGTGTGAGTATGCAAGTCCACTCATTGTACATCGATCGTGTTTGTCGTTCATCGTCAAAGGTAATTTTAATAATTTTTTTGAGAACAGGGAATTTTTTTTTTTTTTTTTTTGGAACCAGGTAAAGAATATCCTAATTTGTGTTCATTGATTTGAATTTTGGCTTCTACGTCTGTAATTCCATATGTTGTTGTTGTGGTGGTGGTGGGCATGGTGTTAAATAATGATTATGGGCGTTATTATTGTTGTTGTTGTTGTTGGAGGTGTGATAATAATAATAATTATTATTATTATTATTATTCTGATGATTACAATTCGAATTATAATCATTAGAGTTTTTATTTGAAAAAATTTTCATCAATGTTTTTGGTGATGTTTGTTGTTGTTGTTTTTCACCATCATCATCATTGTTGATCGATATTGTTGTTGTTTTTTTTGTTATTGATAATTTTCGATTTTTTAGATCGGCCATGGTAAAAAATTTTTTATCTCTACCAAAATTAGCTGCTTCACGTGAACATTGTGGTAGATATTCATTCAATGTTTCTGGCAAGAATGATGCTATTATTGATGCCAATAAACATAGTATGCCGATTATGAATAATGGTATCCATTCACCATATTTTGCCTGAATAATAAAAAAAGCCAGAAAAAAACACGAATAATTAATGTACAACTTTTTCAATTGATATCACCAATGAATAAACTAAATTTAAATGAATGAAAAAAAAGAAGAAAAAAATTCCGGCCAAAAATTCTAGTTCTCATAAATTTCATATATTATACAGTCATATAATAGATGATGATGATCATAATGTAATTGAAGAAATGGTAATAAATTATTACCCAAAAGAATTATGAGAGAGAAAAAAAATACCAGATTCAAATTACTAAATAAATTTACTTACAATATAAACTATTTGTGGTGTTAAAATAGCACCAATAGAACCAATAGTGGCTGTTAGTCCTAAACCTTGATTACGTAATGTTGTTGGATATAATTCCGATGAATGTTGATATATGATCATAAATGTACCGGCAACACCGAATTTTCCTACCAATGTACAACCAGTATAAAAATATTCATCATATTGACGATTGAATATAGCCGGCAATATAAGTGCAATACCACAAATGCCCATTGTAATTACATTTGTCCAACGTCTACCTAATCGTGTATTAATCAATTTCCAACAAATAAACAATGATGGTAGATCAATAAATGACAATAATAGATAATTATAGAGCTGATTATTTGCTTCCATATTGACCGTATTGCCAATTATGCCACCATAACCAATTATACAAGCTATAAATACAATCGTTATGATTAATGTTTTTGATCGTAACCCTGGCATTAATATTAGATCAAAGAATGAATCCTCATTTTCATTATCATTATTTATTTCCGTTATTTTTGTTGTTGTTGTTGTTGTTGATTTCAATTCATCTTCATCACTTTCTAATGACTTTTATTGGATAAATAGATAAATTATTATAAAAAAAAAAAAATAAAATAAATAAATGTCAATCAATCAAACATCAAACAAGTACACACGCACACACATTTGTTCTTAATGATAATTAATGGAAAAAAAAACACATACCATTATGTTGGCCATCAGATCATCGGGTACTTTACGTTTATTAAATCGACAAACCTGTGCCAATTGTTCATAAGCTTCATCATAACGTTTTTTCGATATCAACCATGATGGTGATTCTGGTATCAATCTAATTCGAATTGTATGGCAAAAAAAAAGATTATCGTTTGGTTTTTTTTTGTTTGGAATCTTTGTGAAAGTAAAGACTTACTTATAAGCAATGATAAGAAATGAAGTAAAAATAAATTGTACCCATGTAAATGTAACCCAATTTCCTGTTAATTTTAATGCCAATGTTAATGAACAGCTGCCTAATGAATAGAAAATGGCCGATAAACTTGATGCAAGTGTACGATATTTTTGGCTAACTAATTCTTGAGCTAGAATTTTTTTTTGTTTTGTTAATTTTGGATAAATGGAGAAAACAAAAGAACAAAAAAATCAATAAAAATTATGACGTTTATGGTGACATCTGTTGTTTGTAAATTAAAACAAATTTTTTTTTAATATTTAAACAAGAAAATTGGCGCACACCAATATATAATTCTTGTAAATTTGTTTTGTTACAATAATGAAAGTACTTGCAGAGTGTAAACTCGACAGTTACTCATAATGAATGAATGAATTAATGAATTAAAGATTGAATGATGATGATATGAAAACAAATTTCATACTTATCACAAATGGTAATTGATAATAAACACATAGTATACCGCCGGCAAGAAAACGTGCAATAAGAAATGAATAAATATCTTTGAATATAATTGGTGATAGACAGGATATTTGGGCAATAATCATTGTGATAAGCATTGCTTTTTTACGTCCAATACTGATTAAATTGATTGAAAATGATGGAATTTAATGGAGAAACAAAAACAAAAATGAGAAAAAAAAAGAAAAATTTTCATAAATACAATGAATATTCATCATACACAAACCGTGAGATGTTCACATTCACATACCTGTCGGATAGATTAGAAAGAAGTGGAGTCAAAACGGCTAAACCGATTGCAGTCAATGACATGATCAGATTAACATAATAATCTCGATTACATACAAAATTAAACTGAAATCACAAAAATCACATGATTTCATATTCAATATTAATCAAACAAACAAAAACAAGAAAAAGATTTGTTTTTTTCATTCATACCCATGTGACAGCCGTTTCTGTATACAATGATTGATCATAGATCCAACCATTATTACATTGAATTTTAGCAAATGTTTGTATTGTTGAATTTGATATTAATAATTTTATATCTTGATGTAGATCATTATTATTATTATTATTAGTATTGATTGTGTTTAAAAAATCTTTATATTCAACATCATAACGTTCACAATTGGAACGTTTACCAGTTATTGGATCAATTGGTCGTATCAAATGTTGTTGTTGTTCCATTGATAAATGTTCCAATTCCGGTACACGACACCAATGATCAGGTGTTGATAATAGAAACATTCCTTCAAAAAATACATTAAAAAATGATGTCGGTAATAATAGAAATATGATGAGAAATTTTTGAAAACGATTTTCATCACCAATCTGTTGGAGAATATCTTCAAATTTCATTTTGTTTTTGGTCTTTTTTCTTTTGGTTGTTTGGTATTGGCAACAAGTGAAAAAATGAAAACAAATCTTGATTTTTAATTAAAAATTGTAAAAAAATGATGACGACGATGATGATAAAAAGCAACGATTCAATGACCAATCAACCGAATCAGAATAAATATATATGTTCAATCAACCAGCTGTCAGTAATTCAATATTAAAAAAATTAATCAAAGATGACTAAAACAATTGGGTTAAATAAATTCAAAATCAACATCCACGTACACCAGTACTGGAAAAAAAAATGTGTCGAAAAAAATGTGTCGTGTTCATCAACATCACACACACACAAATTCACAAGATTTTCAATCAATTTATGACCAATGTGCCTCATTTGAAAACGAAAAAAAATGAAAAAAATTCATCACATTCATAGATATCAAATCAATCAATCAGATACATCGATTTTGGATTTTATTTTATCATCATCCAAAAAAAAAGAAAAAAAGAAGAAATTTATTATTACGACGAAGTAAAATTTGTGTGCAAAAAAAAAAAAAAAATAATCAAACCTATTATCATCAAAAGTGATCAATCAATCAATGATTAATCAATATCAATTAACGATATTGCATATGAATGAATGGTTGATCTTTTTCAGTATAGTTGATCGAAAAAAAGCCGCCCAATATCAATTTTCATTTAACGATGCGAACAAAAAAAAAAAAAAAAAAATATCCGAAATCCATCAAAATCAGTTTATGTGTGTGTACAAAAAATCAATTCAATTATTTTGTATATGATTACATTATATTATCATTCACTTTTTTTTGTCACTTAGCTTTTGTTATTTAGAACTATATGAATATGACCATCACCAATAATAACAAATTGAAAAAGTTTTTTTTCATAATCATAATCAACAAGTTGAAATTGATTGAGAAAAGATATGGTATTGGATATAGACAAATGATATATGTGTCCAAACTTTGTGATTAGATTGAAATTCAATAGCAAGCAATGTTTTTGATTTTTCTGCGTGGTGAAAAATTGATTTAAGACAGAAATAACCCCATTTATTTAGATTGTCCTTTTGAGTTTATTTTATTTTATTTTTTTTTTTTTTGAGGGTTAGAAACTTTTCAACTTTGTGAATTTTTTTTTTGGTTGTTTGTTTCAAATAAAATAAATTTGAATGAAAAAATTTAAAATTGCAATCGTAGGTGGTGGTATAATCGGTGTGACCACTGGTATTGCCATTCAAAAACATCTTGCCAATCATATTGAAACGATAACAATTCTATCGGAACAATGGACACCAAATACTACTGGTGATGTTAGTGCTGGTCTAATATATCCATATTTAGTTGCACCAGATACATCTGTCGAACAAATGGAACGTATACTGGTTGAATCGATTCGATTTTTCAATCAATTAATTCAAGATCCACAAAGTAATCAATTTGGTGTATCACGTTTAACAATATTTGAATTGTTTAGCAATAAAAATGAAGCTTGCTTACCTATAGCTAGCAATGAATTGCCGGTAATTCGTACATTGGAATCGAATGAAATACAACGTTTATTTCCAACCATTGGACAACGATATCAATATGGAAATCTTGTTGAAACTTTTATTGCTGAACCAAGTTTATTTTTACCATATTTGATGGATAAATTTCGTGCACAGGTTTGTTCCATTTTCACATTACAACGCTTATAATCAGTACAAAATATCCATAGAATGGAAAAATGATTACAACACGCGTTGAAAATCTTTTATCATTGAAAACGGAATATGATTTAATCATCAATTGTACCGGTATCAATGCACGTAAACTTAATGATGTTAATGATAATAATCAGCTACGTTCAGCACGTGGACAAGTGATGCGTGTAAAAGCACCATGGATTCGTCACGGGATATTGGCTGATCAATGGTATATACTACCACAGAATGATTGTATTGTACTTGGTGGTACAAAAGATTTAGACAATTATAGTCTTGAACCAGATCCAAATATAGCCGAACAGATATGGAAAAATTGTTGTAATTTAATGCCAACATTAGCTGGTGCTAAAAAAATTGGTGATTATGTTGGCCTACGGCCATATAGAAGTTCATTACGTATTGAATTGGATGATAATCATGATGATCATATTATTATACATAATTATGGCCATGGTGGTTCTGGAGTAACATTATGCTGGGGTTCAGCCATCGAAGTCATCAATATAATCAAGAAAAAAATTTTATTTTAATTTGACTGATCATGATACAACAATGATTGATATTTATAATAATAAAAGCTAAATAGAAAAAAAAAATGACAAGAATAACAATCAACAAACATAATTTTTGAATAAAAATCATTTGATTTGATAACTACAGAACAGAAATGAAATCTTTTGTTGTTGTTGTTGTTGTTTTTGTTGCAATTTTAAACAATTTCAAATGAATGTCAATAATGAAATGATGAATTGTGGTAGGCAAATTTGTGAGATAGATTTTTTTTTCTTTAGAATTAAAAAAATTGATGGACAAAGGGGGGGGGGGACGTATACGTATAACATGTATAAGGAATATATAGAATTTGATGATTTGATTGATTGATAATCAGAATGTATTGATTTTTGGATGAAATAATAATGTGATAACTGTTTGACTAGTATAACAAGTATAAGTGATGATTGGATTGAAATTTTGAATTTGATTGAATAAAATCAATGATGACACGGTGATGTAGCTGCCGATGTAATGTTAATTGATATTGTTGATGATGATGGTGGTGATTTATGATTCGAGCTCGATGAATTTGGCGATAATGATGACGATGTTGTTGCTGTTGTTGTTGTTGATGAGATCATATGACCAGGACTAATAATCGATTGTATTGATGTTTGATGAACATTATTATTTGCATAAATAGATGTGTTTTGTATTTGTTGTTGTTGTTGTTGTTGTTGCTGGGGATGATTATGATTATGATGATGATGAAGATGAGGATCAATGGGTAATACGGATAATTTTGGACCATTAATAGATGTTGATGAATCAACATTTACAATTATTGATGATGAAGTTTGATTTGTAGTTGATGTTAATGTTTCATTTCCAGTTGTAATTGTTTTCGATGTATTCATTGTATTGCCAATATTATCTACGGAACTAATAGATGAATGAGAACTATTTTCATCAGAATTGTCATCATCATCATCATCATCATCATCGTTATCGTCATCATCATCATTATTATTGCCATTTGGACGATTAACACCACCACCACCACCACCACCACCATCGTTATCATCACCATCAAAATCGTATAAATGTGTAATTGGTCCAATTATATGTCGTGTTACATTGTGATCATTATCATTATTAGTTGAACTTATTATATTGCCAGGTATCATCTGATAAACATTGGTTATACGATCACAAAATTCTTCATATGTAGAACCATCTAGATAACATATTAATATAACGGTCATATTATCGCAACCAATACCACAGCCCATTTGACAATCTGGTGCTAAACAACGTGTTATTAATTCTTCACAAATAGCAACCGGTTCACGACGGTAAAATATACGACGACGTATAAATTCAACAACTTCTTCATTAGTCATTACATCCCATACACCATCACATGCCATTATAATGAATTCTAAATCCGATGTAAGTGATCGTGTCTGTATATCTGGATAAGCAATAACAATCTGTTCGGTTGCTGAACGTTTTTCATTACGTTTGAAAACAAAATCACCAAATGCACGTGATAATGCTAGATTACCATTAACACGATTGAATTGTACCCAACCACCAGCCGATACAATACGATTCATTTCATCTTCACAAGTTGGTTTATGATCAATTGATAATGGATCCACTTGACCAGCGAATGATGCTACTGCTCTTGAATCGCCAATATTTGCCTAAAATTAAATTTAATAAAAAAAAATATGAAAAGTTAATGTCAATGCAAAATTTTAATTAATAATAAAAAAAATTACGCAATAAATTTGATGATCTTTAATAAGGACGACAACGGCAGTTGAACCAGCCAATTCATCGCGCATTTTTTCATTATTAAACATCATTTCATCGAATTCAACAAAAATATTTTTCAATGCTTCATCAATATGACCTTCTTGATATAAACGATGTGAACAAAGACCTTGATGAAGATTTTCACTTGCATAATTAGCCACTTTAGCACCACCATGGCCATCAAATACAGCGAAAAATGATGCTTCCGGATCATCAGGCATCGTTAACAATATTGTATGTGCATCTTCCATACTAATACGCCAACCTTGTATCGATGATGATGCAACAAGAAATTTATCATTCTTTTCAGTTGATGATTCTTTTTCAGTGACCGGTTCCGAAAATGCTTGTCCCATTATTATTTTTATTTTTTTTTTTCAGTAACCGATTAAATTTTAGAATTTTTGCCAATTTTTGTCAATCAAGCTTATTGTCAATTTTTGGAAAAATTTCAATTAGTATGCTGTGTGTGTGTGTGGGCTGTCGTCCGAACCAAATGCTATCCGAGACAAAATCTAAATGTTCAAAACTAGATAAAAAAAAAGGAAATGTAAATTCAAAATATAAACACACACACACACACATATAAAAAAAAGATTATTATTTGTTTTGACTGGATAAAACCAGTTTGGAACATTTTTTTTTTTGAAACCCCACATTATTACAATTTGAATGGATGAACAAAAAAAAATTCATTACACAAATTGTGCAAACAAAACAACAAATTAAACAAAACACAAATGAAAACATTTGAACAAATCAATTTGGTTTGGCAACAAAAAAAAAACAACAAACGAAATTTTCTAGAAATTATTGTCAATCAATTCAAAGAATATTCTGTGATCTTTGAATGTTTGATTGTAACAAACAAGGAATTGACACATCGACAAAAGACAAACAAAGATCAAATATCTAAAATGAAAATCTAAAAGATTAAAAGATCTAATATTTTTGTATGTGTCAGCGTGTGTGTGTGTGTATGTTTTTACTCAATAAAAATGTTGATAATTTTCTGGAACATCGATCCACTACGATGACGACAATGAACTTTGCCTACACTAAAAATTCATTTGAATGAATTAAAATAGAATCGGTTTATATACATAGACATACACACACACACACACACACACACCAATACCAACACGATTGACATATAAGAAGATTGAGATTCTATATTTAAATGAATTGAATTTATCTAAATTGATTATTCCAGAATACTGTGTGTAGTGTGTGTGTGTTTTTTGCGTAGGTAGGTGAATGGTTTGATACATACACACACACACACACACACACACAGACACATTTGATACAATGGACGTAATAAAACAAATATATAAAGATTCACAATTCATTGGAAAATTTTTTTTTCCTTTACAATTTTCCATGAAAGAATGATGTAATAATTCATCATTGAAAATCAATTAAATAGACAAGGAATATTTTCATCATTCTGTTTCAAAATTTTCTTAATGATTAATTGATATAATAGATATATGTTATTATTATTCTTGGTGAATGAAAAGTTAAAAAAAAAAATTAATTTAGCATAGGATTATTTTAATAGCAAAAAAAAAACTAGCCACAAAATTTTTAATTAAGAAAATACAGATGAAGAAACAGAATAACTGAATAATCTGTATAGCCGACATCGTAAATTATGATGGTAATGATAATTAATTTTAAACTTGAATCAAAAAAAAAAGAAAGAAAACAAGAAAAAAGAAAAAGAATTTACCAGAAATTTTTTTTGTTGTTGTTGTTGTTGTTTGTTGTTGTCGTCTTTTAACATTAAATGGATTTAATATTATTATCAATTTTATTTTTTTTTTTGTTGTTGTTGTTGTCGTTGTTTGGTGGCTACCAAGAAACCAATAATGATGAGCCGATAGGGGGTGTATCGAATAATAATAATAAAAAAAAATGAGCAGCTGGAAGGCGAACAACGTTTGAGCCGTGTTATAAACATCAGATCAGTTCTTAGGCGCCCAGCAATTGGGCCCAACTTTTTATTTTTCTATTTATTTATTTTTTTTTTTGGTGCGCATGTCTTTATCATTATTATTACCATCATCATCATCATCATCATCATCATCATGATCAAACGCAGTATTATTATATTATATTAAACATCAAATAAAATTCTTATATAAACGTTTGGGCAATAATTTTTTTTTTTTTTTTTTTGGTTTATATAAACCAGAAAAAAAATAAATAAACTATTTTAAACTATAGCTAAAATGAATGTGGAAATAGCTTCAAACATTTAGTTTGTTTACCGGTCAACAGATGGCGATAAATGTAGCATTTTTTATGAAAAATTAGTGAAATCTTTTTTTTTTTATTTATCTCATCAATATTAAACGAATTATTAGTTTATATTGAATTAGCAAAGAAAAAAAACAAGGATTTCCGATTTCAGTTCTATATGTATAGAGGAACACAAAGGAATATTCTACAAAACACACAACACAGAGATATGGAGAGAGAATACAATTCCAGATCATGGTATTCACAACAATACACTACTGCTACCATACTAGTGGTAATTAATTAGGTTAATTGTATTATCTCTGCATTGTGGTTTTAATTACTATTTTTGCCTTGGATTTCTTTTTTTTTTTTTTTTTTGTTCTACCTTTCATTACTCACTCATGATATCGGGGTTAGCTTGATGGTAATAATATAACAATATAATATGAAAAGACGTCATTGAAAATATATTAATGATTACGTAACAAACGAAACGAAAAAAAAATTCCTGTGAGTGTCAATGTCAACCACCACCATAGCTTTAATTCATATAGCTGTCATTCATATATTAGTGCACCAGAAAAACAAAACACCGTTGACCACAGTGCTTCACACTCACAGTGTGTCCACCTCTAATGCATTTTTGGTGCACAAAAAAAAATGAAATAAAATGCTGATTAGTATAATTAACCAATGGATGAATTGTGATGACCACCATCACCCCATCACCCCAAAAGATTCATTAAAATTCAAAAACAATAAAAGAACCAAAAATGTAGTTGTGCATAACGAATATGAATTTTCTATCGGGTGTATAATACAATTATAATACACACACACACACACGAATTGTCCATGGAATGACCGTGTAGGTGAAGAAGTAGAATAAAAAAAAAATTATTAACACAATTGAATTTCAATACAAACATTGCATTACAAGCAACGAAAAGAAGAAAAGAACAAAATCAAATTCGGTTAAAAAATTTTTTTTTTCCCATTTATCCACATTTGATATAATGATGATTCTGAGACAATTTTTATTTTCATATGATTTTAACGTTGTTGTTGTTGTTGTTGTTGTCGTCGTCGTTTAATTTTCATCTGATTTGCAAAAAAAGACCTTGAATAATAGAAAATAATGTCACAAACAACAGTGAATAAACAGAATAAACGAATTATTATGATGAATAATAATGATTATCATAATCAACATAATGATAATCGTAATCGTAATCGTAATCGTGGTTCTGGCACTGATCTTCATTCAGGTCATAATCGTAATAAGGCGGTCAGTAATTTTGGTGGTGGTGGTGGTGGTGGTGGTGGTGGGAGTGGAAATGATAATCAAATCAAAAATAATAATCGTTTGAAACAACAAAATAAAATACCACGTAATGAAAGAATATCATCAAAGAATATTGCAACGATAACAACAAAAACAACAAGACAACGACAACCAAATGCTTATAATCGTAACCAAACAACGACTGTAGCAAAAACAACGACAAGAACAACAAGCAATTCAAAGACAAAGATAAATGTTCATCGTTCAGCGAAATCAGCTGCTGGTAATCAAAAGTCGACTAAATTATTATTATCATCATCAGGAGAACCAACATCAACACCAACGACAACAAAAACAACAACAACAAGAAAAAAAAATGTCATCATCAATCTTGAGTCAAACCATAGTAATAGTAATAATAATAATAATAATAATAATGTTCAAAAGACAAAATTATTAGATAAAAATCAAGATAATAATGACCAAAGAAAAATTATTACAACTGTATTGAATCAAATACGACAATATATACCAAGTCAATTATGTCCACAACAACAATCGATACAGAGTATTTATAATCGATTAATACGATTGATTCATTGTCAATCGAATCAAGCTCGAAATGAGCCACCATCACCATCATTGCCACCACCACCACCACAACAACAACCATCATCATCATTATCATCGAATAATAGTCAGAATCAAATTAATAAAAAATTGTCAACATTATGGATTAGTTTTAGACGTATTTTAAGATTTTCTAAAAAATCAAAAAAATCAACAACAACAACAACAACAAAACAACCAAAATTGATAATGATCATCGAATATCATCATCATTTTGGCAACGATTTACATTGTTTCGATTTCGTATGTACATTTGTAATTTATTCGATAATAATTGTACAATGATCAATAATCAATCGGCAAGTAATTGTAATCCAATATCCAATATATCAAATTTAAATCTTGATTCATGTCGACCACCATCAATATCGGTGATCAACATTGGTGATCGTATGGTCAATGCATTACGGCAATATTGTTGGCCAATCAACAATGAAAAATCAGTGGATAAAGAAATGATGACGAAAAGAAAGAAACATAAATTATTCAAAAATTTAAAAAATTTGAAAAAACAATCCAAAATAAAAAACAATACACCAAATAAACGACAATCAAAACGTACTATTGAATCAAATCGTGTACAGCCTAGTTCAATACAAATTGATTCATCAAAATCAAAACAACAACAACAACCACCACAACAAATGTTGGATTTAAGTCAAAAAAATCCAAATCAAATGCTAATTACATCCGATAGTTATGCAATATTATGTGATATAAATTGTCATTATTGGATTATAACATTGATTAGTTGGTCATTCATATATCCACGTTTAACATTACCAACAAATCATTATTTTCAATTTGCCAGTGTACATGATGTTAGTAATCTAGGTAATCAACAATCATCATATGGTTGTTTACGGCTATTTTGTTGCTGTTGTTGTCTATGTTTTTGTCCAAATTGTTTTCATCATCATCAACGAAAACAACGCGAACAACGTGAACAACAACAACAACAATTATCATCATCTAAAAATTATTATGGACGAAAATTTTATGATCAATCCATGATACAACCACCATCGATGACCACTATACAGATAAATCAACGACAAAATTTTCAACCAATAAACATTGTCAATCATCATCAGCAACCATTATCGGTAATAAATTCACCAACAAATGAATGTACTGAAGTTATAATTGCAACAGAAACACCAGTACAGCATCCGCCATCTTTAATCAATTCTGATTGTTGTGACCAACAACCAATGAAACAAGATGATTTTCTTGTATCCAAAGATTATGATGATTGTCAAACGGAAATAACACCTGATTGTAGTGATGTTACAAGTAATGTTACTTATTATCCATCTACATTCAACAATGATGATGATTTGCCTAATCATGATAATGAAAATCAATAATGGCTAATAATCAAAATAGTAATAAAACAATGATGATGATTAATAAAGATAAATTGGCAAATATTCCAATCAATAATGATGATGATAAGGATGAACAAGATGATGAAAATGATGATCAACAAATAGAAAATCGATCAAAATCTAGTCAATCAATGTTGACCAAATCAATTTGTTGTTGTTTTCCACATTGGAAACGTTATCTAGTCATTACATTGTTTATTTGGATTTCATTACGTTATTTCATTCATTTAGGTAATATTTGATTTGATTTGTAATTCATAATATTCAATTAATATATTTTCATTCATTAATTTTATTATATAGTTATAATTATATTTCAATATGATAATGAACGAAAAATGAATATTCAACTATTTGATTACCGTTATTGTCCATTAATTGTGGCCTTGTTAGAATCATTGACAACATTATTGACAATTATGATTGTTTATAGTCGTCGATCGCCAATTGAAGAGCTAATTATAACGAAATCATCATTTTTTCGGCCATTATGTCCATGGCAACGTTTATATTTCATACAAATAATTTCTATTGTTTATTTTATAGCTAGTATTGCATTTTTAATATTAACATTTTGTTCATGGTTTCCATACCTGACCGGTATTGATTCAGAATGGCATCGTTTTCGAAGATCTGATTCAAATATATTAAATATCTGGCAGCATCAACCACAACCACAACAACAACAACAGCAGCAGCAGCAGCAACAACAACAACAACAACATTCAACATTATCAAATAACCAAACAACCATATCAATGTCAAGGACAATTTTAAATGTTTCAAAAACGACAACAACATCAGCCATACGATTAAAACGTAATTCATCAAGAATTATTTCAAATGAATCTGTTACTATATCATCGATACATTTTGAAAATCAAACAACATTTACCAATGAAATTGATGATGATTATGTTTCCACTGTGATTGATGATAATTTTACCACAAATTTAATTACTACCACACATCGATTACCACGATTTTCACCAACTTTTCCTACGACGACAATGATGAGAATGGCAAAAACAACGACTGCTATTCCATCTAGTGTTGGCCATTCATCACCACAAATGCCAAAAATATATTCTGGCCATAAAAATGAATGGAATTTCATTACAATATGGCAAGCAATTTTCTATTTCGATTTTATAGCTCATATTCTATGTCAATATAGTATATTATTGATGAAAACATTACATTTAGGTATAACAATATTAATCATATTGAAATGTTGGCAATTATATAGTGAAATACGTAGACAAAAACGACATTTCCATCGATTACGTGATGATATTGAACATGCAACAAGTGAAACAACAATAGCAACAAATTCAACAGATATTAAATCTGAATCATCATCAATGATAATGATCGATAATAATAATCCAAGACAATCAAAATTATGGAAACGTCGTCAACGTCGTCATTGGCAATCCGAAATGGAACGATTAACAATGTTGACTAAAGTTTTATGTCAAAATATTCGTTTCTATCATAATGTATTTGGACATTTATTATTGATTTGGTTATCATTAACAATTGTAACGCTATTGGCCATATGGGAATTCTATACATGTATTGATCGAATGGCAAAAAAAAATTTCATCCAATTTGATTGGCTATTACGAAATATGATGATAATCTATCATAGTATTGATCTATGTATAATGGTAATATTTTATCTAATAATCAGAATATTACGCTATCAATGTCTTTGGTTAACCGAATTTGGTGGTGAATGATTAATTAATAATAATATATATTCAAATTAAGACAGAAAAAAAAATCAATAGCTACCATTTCAAACAAATAGGCATGATTATTTTATTTGATTTATGAAAATAATAAATAATAATTTGAAATTGAAATTGTTCTCTTTTTTTTTGTTCAATATGGTCGCCACAATTTTTCTAAACGTTCAGCTTTTTCAGTATCAGCAGTGGTCATTATTGTTTTTTTCTTTGATCGATGATCAATAATTTGTTGTTGTTGTTGTTGTTGTTGTTGTTTGAATTTCTATCATCATCTCCATCATCATCGATCATAACCAAATCATCATCATCATCATCATCGTCATTCAATTCATTTGAATCATTACTTGTATCAATTAAATCAATTTCTTCATCACTATTATCATCGATAATTGTATCGGTTATTTCTTGTTCATTATTATCAACGATATCCATATTTGTTGATTGTCTTCGTCGCCGTCGTCGTCGTATTTGTTTTTGTTGTTGATTGTCACCATTTGTTATCATTATATTATTCAACTGTTTATCATTAAAATATTGATAATTTATCGATGATTCTGATGAATTTGATTGATCATCATTATCATCATCATTATTGATAAATTTTAACAATGATGATGATGTTGTTGTTGTTGACAATGATGACAGTGTTGACAATTCATCCGTTTTCAATACATCCGAAATTTGATCATTTTTTACACCAAAACGACCATTTAGCAACGCTGATGATGATGATGAAATAGATTCTTTAAAGAAAAATAAAGAAAAAAAGTAAGAAAAAATTGGAAAAAAAATCTTGAATAATTGAAGCATAAAATCTGATATATGTCATCATCATCATCATCATCATCATCATCATTGGAGGTCTTTGAATAATTATTCATTTCATTCATTGGTGCATAACCATTTTGAATGTCATTATCGTGTAATTATCATTTTTTTTAAAACAGAAAAAAATCTTATATAATCTTATAATCATCAAGTGCAACCGTCTTCGTTGTGTGTGTGTGTGTGTGTCATATTGACCGGCCAAAAATGAATAAGAATCATCATTTGCCTTTCTCAAACCACTAACGTATAATAACAACGATGATGATGATGATGATGATGATAATGTAGGCGTATGAGATATGATTATGGAATTTTTTTTTTTTTTTTTTGCTGCTTCTCAAACATTTACTTACCGGGTTTCATTATTTTTAACAATGATGTTGATGATAATTTATTGTTGGAGCCAATAACCGGTTTATTATTATTGTAAATGGTTGTTGTTGTTTGCTGGTGATTATTATTATTAACCCTTTTAACACCGGTTTCATTATCATTATCATCATCATCATCATCAATATCATTCGATTTGGTTATGGTTGATGATTTTGATGCTATTATTGCATTTGAATGATTAATATTTGTAGATGATGCATGTACTAATGCAACAGCTGCCATTGCCTGTTTAATACTATTCCATTGTTGTTGTTGTTGTTGTTGCTGATGATGATGAATTGGTGATAATGATGGAAATACGTTGTTTCCATTTTCAATCATTATATCCGGTCTTTGTTGTTGTTGTAAAAGTTTTGCATAAGAATGTTGCATAACCATTTGTTTGGCTGCTAAACGCCATTCTTGAGCAGCTGCAACTGCAGCCATATAAGATCCTGGTATCATTGTTTCATTTGTACCAATTATTGTGGGTGTTGTTGTTGTTGTTGTTGAACCGGTACCGGTACCTGTATGTGTGATCAAAGGTACAGGTGATGCATTATTAGTAGCTACCGGTGTTAATATTCCACCTGTTGCCACCTTAGATGGTGATATTTGTACTGGATTTGATGAATGTTGATGATGATGATGACCAGCAGCAGCTGCAGCACCAAAAATTGCATTTGCTAATGCACGAAATGGTGGTGGTGGTGGAGGTGGTAGATGTGTTGTTGGATGAATAGATGCCGCAATCGGTTGAGGATGACCAGCAGAAGAAGCAGCGGCAGCAGCGGCTGCCGCTGCATTCAAAAAACTAGCATGTAATTGGGCACCTGTTGCAGCGTTTACATTTGCGGTATTTGCATTTAATGCATGATGTACTCGATGTACGGATGATGGATGTGTAGAATGATGATGATGATGATGATGATGAGCACCGGGATATGGCCAACAATGATTCAATAGACCTGTAATATAGAATAATAATAATAATAATAATAAAAATGAATTCCATCCACATTCACTAACAAGATGAACTAAACAGAAAAAAATAAAAAAAGGGAGAAAATCTAAATACTAATTATATTGACGACGATGATGTAGGTAATAATTAAAAACATACAGACACCAAAATATGGAAAAAAAACTAGATCATTATTATTATCATGATAATTTTTTTTTTTTTTTTGGTAGTTAAAAAAGAAAAAGAAGATCTTTTCTGCTCATCATTCTATGATTCATATATATTAATCAATAAATCAAGTAATAATCACATTTAAACACAGCAAACAGCAGAAAAAAAAAAATGAAAAATTTCTGAAAAAAAAAAAAAATTTTTTTGGGTTGTTTTCACTATGAAAAATAAAAATTTTTTTTTTCACTCGAAAAAACTTTGAGCATACCACACCCACATTGATTAAAGATTAGATGGATAAGTCATCAATCTATCTGCGCACACACACACACACACACACACTGGGTATTTAACCTTTTTTACATAAACAAAAAAAAAATTTTTTTTTTTGTTTCTTGCATATTTTAAACCTCATCATCATCATCATCATCATCATCATCATTCATGTTTAAGATTTATAATATAAGAGATATATATCGATAATGATCGTTTATCATAATCATCATCATCATCATCATCATTGTTTTAAAACCTATAATTATAATGCTAAAGTTTTTTTTTCTGGATTTTCACTCCAACTCTCTTGTATTCGTCCATTGGGTCATCCAGATATTTTGTTTTTTATTTTTTTTTTTTTTTTTGTTCATTGGTGATAATTAATTATTCTTCTGCTGTTTTGTTGTTAATTGATGATGATCATTATTATCATCAAAAAAAAGACAAAAAAAATCTTGACGGCTATACGGCTTTTTTCCACTTGTTCTTTTTTTTCTCCCAAATAGATACGAATCAACCACCCAAAACTGAGATGAATGAATGAAAAAAAAACACAACATTCATAATATTTGCCGGTTTTTTTTCTACAGATTATTGTCATCATCATCATGGGTAATCATATACAGATATATATGATAAACTTAAATGATGATGATGATGAACTTTAAGATTGAACTGACATATCGGTCGATTGGTCAAGCGAATCGTCATATATAATAATAATATCGATTTAATATTTTCAGTGGCTTTTTCTAGTGTGTGTGTTTTTTCCTGTTTTATATTTCAATGTCATCAACAACAACAACAACAACAACAACAACGACAACAAGAAAGAAATTGTTGAGGTTTTTTTTTTTTTGTTCTTGGCCAATTTTATTCATCATTTCCTATTGGTTGACATAGAAATTTGTAATACAAAAAAAAATGACAAAAAAAAAACAAAACAAACATTTTCATATGACAGATATTGCGGCTCCTGTTTTTTGTGTACACCTGTAATTTGATAATGATTGATGACCTGTATATACATACACACACACACATACACACCAATTGAACTTGAATTAAATGGACAACAACAACAATGATGAGGATGACCCAATTGGTCATTGGTAAATGACCAAACAAAAAAAACACCTCGTCATTGATTGAAAATAATTCCGAATCATTATTCAATACAAATGATTGAATGAATGAATTGTTGTTACCCATGATTTGTAAACACGATTTTTTTGTGTGCGTGCGTGTGTTTGATTTTTTGCGTTTGTTTTTTCCAATCGGTGATCAAAAAAAAAAAATTACTGATGATTATATATTGGTGGTAGAATATAAGAATAAAATGACCATTTGAATTTTTTTTTCGGACATTTTTGTGTGTGTATGAAATTATAAATTTAATATATTCAATCACGAATCAAGAAAAACAAAACCGGTAGCCATTTTCATTTTTGATCGATAGCTGCTGTTTTTTTTGGTTTTTTTTCTCTGAAGAGATGGATTATTATCATATCCTGGTCTTGAACAAAATCGATTGATCCGTATCAATAACCAGTGTGTGTGTGTGTGTGTGTGTGTGTGTGTGTGTGTGTGCGTGTATAGCACGATCAATCAATGATCGATGTTTCGTGACTTAAAAATATGATGATGATGATGATTAAGGTGCTATCAGATAAAAATATAGATAGATAGATAGATAGCTTGAATATATTGTAATTAGATTTCCAATGTAATGTGTTTGCTAGTGTACTGTGTTTTTTTTTACCTGTTTGTTAGTACTACTGTAATTTATTGTAAAAAAAAGATAGAAAAAATCTATATCGATAATCTAATAATAGCCATATATAATGGATAATAATCGATAATCATAATCAAATGACTATGGCATCAATGGAGTGGATGTTTTTTCTTCATCGTTTAATCGTCATGAAATAATTTATCAACAGATAGAAAAAAAACTTACTTGTCTTACTTCTTGGTTCACGTGGACCATCAACAGTAACTTTGATCGCTTTCATATATGTAGCCACTTGTGGTGGATTTGTTGCCACAGTGATTGTAAGTGAAAAACTTTTTCCTATTGTCGTTAACATTTAGATTTGAAACAAAGAAAATAAAAAATAAAAAAATATTAAAATGATGATGAATATGTTGCTGCATATATGTAAACAATTGGATTAATTAGAAGCGAAAAAAAAACGATTTTCATAAAAAAAAAGAAAATTATCATTCACAACAATAAAAAAAACAAACAAACAAACACATCAATCGTCATAATAACATAGGAATATGTATTCATCCTGTCGGCAAACATGAAGAGAAAGGTCAGCTGAAAGTCCATAAAAAAACATGAAAAAGATGAACAACAAGCCCGGCAACAAAGACAGAAAAAAAAATTTTTTTAGTCATCATATCTTGGGCAATAAAATGGGCAGCAAAAAAAACAAAAAAAATATGACTAATGTGAAAATTGTAAACGAATTCATTTTGTTGCTGTTTCTGACAAAAAAAAACAATAACGACAAACATTATGCCGTGCAGTATAGAAAGATGCCGCCGATAACGATAAAAAAAGTATTGTATCCGAAATCAAATCCTAAAAATAAATGAATGATGATGACGATGAAGAAGAAAAAAGGGAGAAACACAACAACAACAACAACAAAAAAAATTCACATCCGAAACTTTATTTTTTTTATGTGTTTTGTTTCATTTGTTTGATCCTGATGATGATGATGATGGAGAAGAAGCAGAGCACAAGTTTGTTTTTTTACGACCATTTTTGGACTGTGTATATATGTTAACGTCAAACATTGCCAACAGAAAAAAAAAATATATATGATAATTTGTAAGTCGTAAAAAAAATAAATCTATTGTTTTTGTTGTTTTTTTTTCCAACAAAACAAAACAAAACAAAACAAAAAAAACTGAATGTTTAAATGTTACCGATATGAATAAAAAAGAAAAACTTTTGTTGTTGTTGTTGTTGTTATATATGATCAATGATTGTGTGAAATTTTTTGTTGTTGTTGTTAGTTTTTTTGTGTGTCATTTTCAAATAATGTGTTTGTCTATGTTGATGCTATTGAATATCAAACAACAACAACGAAAAACGAAAAACGAAAACAACATCTATTCCATTGAAAATTATGCAATGGATATGTTTTAAAGAAGAAGAAGAAAAGAAAAATGAGAAATATAAATATATAATATATATTTACCTCGTCCTGAACGGCCAACAAAACGTAAATCATTAAATTTGGCCACCTGATTCTTAATGATTGCCGATGAATTCCTTAATTCACCGGACCAATTTTCATCATTACCAGCACGTACAGTAACTAATGTACCATCATTTACTTCACATAATGCAATCACTTTAAATGAAATTGGCAATGTTTTATTCGAACGCCAATGTATTGGTAATGGTGTACAAATGATTGCCGGTGAACCGGTACGACATAATTCACCTGGATGTTCATTCATAACTTCATTTAAAAGACGTTCACCAGGAAAAATGAATTCATTTCCTGTCACATTGTCATTATTATTTTTATTGTTGCCACCGCCACCACCACCACCAGCACTTGAACCACTTTTTTTACTCATTTTATGTAGATTTTTTTTTGGTGGAATTAAATTAAAAAAAAAAAAACACACACACACAGATACAAACACTGGACAAATCACAAACATAGAATATGGATCACTGAAATTGAATCAAACAAATAAAAATTCGATCCATTTTCTACACACTTGTTGATCATCATCTTCATCAATACTGATCATCATCATCGATGATTATTTTAACCGAATGAATGAATGAATGAATGAACGAATGTTGTGAACAAAACAAACAAACAGAAAAAAAATGGGAGGATCTTAGCTGTACATAATAATAGACATTTTTATTTTTTTATTTTTCATTTTATGACGCCGCCATACATGGTTGTGGCATAATAAACATAATAATTCACACAAACAGACAGACAAGCAATGTTCAACTAATAGATGTTGCCAACAAATGTTGTAAGTAAGCGCCCTAAAAAAAAACTTTGTATATATATCTGTACACTGACAATGAACATTAGACGGTCATTCCTCCTTTTTTTTTTATCTTTCTCACATTTTTTTTGTTGTTGCAACAAGTTTTATGCTTATATATGATGTGTGTGTGTGTGTGTAGGAAGGCGCTATCATCGACATCTGTATATAAATAGCGGGCGTCATTTGTTTTTTTTTTTTTTTTTTTTTTTTTGGTTCGAGCAATAAATAAAAAAAAACAGTATATATTTAGCTCCTCCCAGGTTTTTTTTCTATCTTCAATGAAAAAAAAACAACAACATCCACTTCGTTGTTTTTTACAATTAACATTCTTTTTTCAAGAATTACAACATCCAAGTGATAAAAAAAAAACTTTTTTCCATTAGAAACAATTATTGCACGTGTTATTTTTTTTTTTTGAATTTATCACAAAAATTAATGTTTTACATTTGTTTTCATTTATTAAAAAAAATTTCAATCATCATCTTCATCACCGAATGGATTCAACATTGATGATGTCGATGGTGGCAATACTTGCGACGTTGATTTTTCATTATTCGTGTACAATATTGATTCATGTGATTGTTGTTGTTGTTGTTGTTGAGCGAAAAAATATTCAATTTCCAATTCTTTAAGATTAGATTCCAATAGACGCATCTCTTCATAACGATGATCTTGTTTTGCTTGTTCAATATATGATTGTATTATGGCCATTTGTTGTACAATTGGATCTTCATTATTATCAATAATATTGATGTTATTTAAACCATTTCCATTGATGGTCATTGTCTGCGGACAGAATCCATCATCACCAAATATGATGGTTTTTTTTCCAACAACATTTTCAACTTGATGTTTTTGTTTAAATTGTTCCTGTTCAAATAGGGCCATCTGTTTTTCCCATTGAATTCTTCTTTGAATCAATTCAGCATGTGATTGTTTTAATCGTTCATAATGTTCAACATCTGGTAATTCATTCAATGCTAATAGATTATCACGTAGATATAATATTGTTGAACGACGAATCAATGTTTGTATGGATAGTTGTCGTTGCGAAGGCAATGTTTTCGATACATCATATGTTTCAATTTTACGACTGTCAATGAAAAAAAAAAAATGATCATCATCATCAGAATTTTAAATCACAAAGCAACATTGCCATCTATCGGTGGCAAAAAAACCCAAACAAATAGCACCTTACCTAATATGATCAGTTTCTTCACCTAATCGTGTGAGTTTATTCTTAACTTCGATTGCATCCTGTAGTTGATATGTTGATTCGCCCAAACTAATGAAAATGAAATGAAATGAAATTATCATTTGCATTTTATTTTATATAAACAAATGATGAAACTTACTTAAGAGATTCGGCCATACTATCATAGATTGATAATAATCGATCAAGTTGTTGAACATTATCTCTAAGCTTTGTATAAAGTTCAATTAATGGACATTGATAATGTGAACGTTGTAATTTATCACGTCGTAATATAAGTAAACGATTACAATCAATACAGATACGTATTGATTCGATCTGATTTTCCGTATCCAAATTATTATCATCACCAATTGATTTGGCTAACATTGTACGTAATTTCAATATCGATATTGTTGGTGAAGTAGCATTATTATTAAGATTTATTATTATTATTATGTGGCAAATTTTGTTGTTTTGAACCATGAAAACCGAATGGTTTTAATAATTCATCAGCAAAATTGAATGTAATAAACACTGAACATTTTGAACACATAACAGCACCACAAAGCCGACAATGATGACGTTTTTTAATGATTATATTGAATCTAATAGCACATGATGGACAAAGTGGAACGGCACGTTCATCTAACCATTCAACAATAGATTGTTCATGACGACGACGATTATCAATATCCATTGGTGATGATAATGATGCATATCCAGCCATTAATCGATCTAATCGTATTAGCAATTTATTCGTTTCAAATACATAACGTTCAATTTGTTTATCACGTATTTGACGATAATCATCCCAATGTGAACGATTTAAACCTAATTTCATTGAATGTTTCCATGAATTAATCGGTGATTTCGAATGCCAACCATTTATAGCCGATAATTTTGGATCTTCTTGTTGTACTTCTGTTGTTGTTGGTGATGATGATGATTTGTTTGTTTGGATAATTTTTTTTACAAAATCTTTAATCTGATCTTTTGAACGATTTATATTAATTTTAGAATTTGATTGTTGTTGTTGTTGTCGTCTTTTTTGATGATTTTGACGATGATCTTGATCAAAATGTGCCATCAATTCAGTAATTGTACGATATTCTTGCATACAATCTGGACAAAGAAGACCTTCAGCTTGTAATGAACCATCACCTAATAGATATTGTTGTTGTTGTTGTTCATTGGGTGTTTCGTTTATAATTGATTGTGATTCTTCAAATGGATTCATCATCATCGATGGCATTTATATTCTGTCCATTTATCGATGAGGAAATCTAATGATGAAAGAAAAAAACATTGAAATTATCGATTCAAATCACATAGAATTCAAACCTTTTTAGATGTAACATGATGATGATCATCATCATCATCTGCAAATGGATCCAATTTCGAATCATAATCATCACCATCTTCATCACCAAATGGATTCATTATGATGAACAGCCAAATGGAAAATAATGATTTTTTTTGTCAAGTTTTTGCACTATATTTTTGTATTGCGTAAAATTAAAATCAGCATCAGATTAAAATCTTGTCGTTCATCATCATCATCATCATAAATATGTGACCCAATAAAACGATAAATCAGATCATAAAAATCGATTGTTTTAAAATATATATTTCATTCTTGTTTACTCCCATCCATCCATTCATCGATCGATCGATTTGCTCTCAATGTTTTTGTTTTGATTTCAACAATCCAATAGTGGTGCCATCCGGTGGCGGAATTTTTGAAAAAATTTTCAAAATTTTTTTTTATTTTTTGATATTTAAACTTGTAGAATCAAATAATTATTTTATTAATTAAGTAATAGGTATTATTTAATAAATTTAAATTTAACGAAATGAAAACAAAAACTGACAAAAGAAACTGAAACAAAACAAAAAAGAAAAAAAATATTGAAAACAACGACAACCATCAAAGAAATAAACGAACGATGGCAATCAAAAAGATTGAAAAATCTGGTTGTTTGGGCAATTTGGTTGTGGTTGGGGATGTGTATATATGATATGAACAAAATGTGTTTGTAGGTGTGTGTGTGTGTGTGTGTAGGTGGGGGTGGGGATGATCTTTGTGTATATAATAATGTTATGTTATTATCATGATAAATGAGTTAATTAATTAATTAATCAATTTTTTTGTCATGCAATAATAATTATAATAATTAACCAACGACAAATTTTTTCTGTTTGCTTGTTTGTTTGAAAATCAATAAAATTCAAACGGAATGAATGAATGAATGAATGAAATTGGAAAGAGAAAAATTAATTTTTTTTGTTTTGTTTGTACTTTGAATCAGGTGATCATTTGATTTTCTATTTTGTAACAATTTCATTTTTATTTTTGTTGTTGTTGTTGTTGTTGTTGCCATTGTGTATGGATTCATTAATGAACGATCATGATGATGATGACAATGTTTGTGTGTGTGTGTATAAATGGGAAAAAAGGTGTGATATTTATTCTGAATAAAATGATGATGCATTAAAATGAAATGGTTAAATAACAACAACAACAACAACAACAACGACAACAACAATCAATTAGTTTGTATACAATAATAATTTTTCTCAAAAAAAAAGAAATAAAAAGCAAGAATAAAATGTAATGATGATGATGATTGATTGATTGATTGATTGAACAGTATATTATGCAATGACTATTTATGTTTGGTGATATATAAATTATTATTCAATTATAAATGGATAAATAATAACGACGATGATTATGATTATGATGATGATATCTATATAGTACAAATAACACTGCAGAAATAATGATGACAAACAAACACACACACACACACACACACACACACACTCAATTAGAATATAAACAGCAAACAAACGGAAACAATCACAAACACAAATACACAAACACACACACACACGTATAATATATATGAGATTAGAATAAAAGTAAAACATTGAATATGATAAAATGGAAATGTGTGTTGAAGAGAGAATGAAAGAGAGAAAGAAATTCATTTAATGATCCGGTTATTTTGCATGGGTATTTTTGTGTGTGTGTGTTTGATGATTGATTGATGGCCAATAAATGATGGTAAATAAAATGGCAGCCATAATTGTGATGTTTAGCCATTTTTTTTTGCTTATTTTCATTGTTAATGATGATGATGATGATGATGATGATTAGAAAAAATTGGAAAAGAAACTTGCAGCACCAGAAGCTGCTTGTTGTGCCGCCTATAACGATAAATAAATCATGAGTTTATTTTTAAAATATGATAAAATATAAAACTTACACTTGGTTGTGATGGTTTTTGTTGTTGTTGTTGTTGCTGCTGCTGCTGTTGGGATGGTGGTCTTGGTGCTGGTCCACGTGGTGCTTGACCAGCACCTTGTTGCATAGGTCTTGGACCTTGTTGTTGTGGACCTTGTGGCCGTTGTTGTTGTTGTTGTGGACCAGGTTGACGAATTGGTTGCTGTTGTTGTTGTTGTCCAGGCGTTTTTGTCGGTTGTTGTTGTTGTTGTTGTTGAGGACCAGATTGTTTAACACTTTGTTGTTGTGGATGTGATGGTGGATGTGCCTGTGGTGGTTGTTGTTGTTGTCGTGAAGAAAGTGGAACACCTTTAGATTGTTGTTGTTTAGCTGTTTGTTGTTGTTGTTGACTAACAGGATGTGATGATGGACCTTGAGATTGTTTGGAAACTGAAGCGGATACGGCTGTTGTTGTTTGTTGTTGTGCCGTTGTAGCTGCTGCTGTTGCTGATTTTAATTGGCTAAAAATTTATTTATTTTTAAAAATCAATTTTAATGAAAAAAAAACTTTCAATTCACTTATCACTTACTGTTGTAGATCCTGTATTTGTTTATTTAAAGCAAATTTTTCCTCTTCCATTGTTGACATTATTTTTAATATTCTTTCCAATTCTGTTTGAATAATTTTAGCTTCTTCACGACTTTTTCTTAGCTCTTGTTCTAGTTTCTGTTTTTCTTTCTCCAGATCAGTACAACGTTTTCTTAGTTTATCAATTTCTGTCTGTTGTTGTTGAATTTGTTTAGTTTTAGCTTCAACTTCGGCTGCTTGGGCCGTTGCTACAGCACCACCACTGCCACCGGCTTGTGCCTGTTTCAATGCTTGTTGTAATTGAATTTCCAATTGATCCACATCTGCCTGTCGTTTTTTCAATGATTGTTCACTTTCAGCCAAAATTCTTTGTTGTTCATCAAGCTTTTTCTGTACAGCATCCAAATCTGTTTGTGATTGTGTTATATTCTGTTGCTGTTGTTGTTGTTGTTGCTGTAATTTGGATTTCATTTGATTTGCATCCTGTTTCAGTACTTGTATCTCTTTCTGTAATATTGAAAAAAAAATTTTAGAGAAAAAACTTGAAAATTTTATATCAAAAATCAAAAACCCTACCTCACGTTGACTAAGTTCATTCACTAATTTTTCCAATTGACTTTGGAATCTTTCACGTTCAACTTCAAAACCTTTTTTCTCATTCTGTGACCGTTCCAATTGTTTACGTAGCTGATCTGCTTCTTGTGTCCATTTTTTATTCTCTGAACGTTGTCTTTCTAATTCAGCACGTAATCGATTCACTTCATCGGTTAATTTTTGTTGCTGCTGTTGTACACCTTGAGCATTGACACCTTGCTGTTTTTGCAGTTGTTGTATCTGATTCTTTAATTCTTCATTCAATTTCTGTATAGCTTCAATCTGTTGTTGATTTTGTTGATTTATTGCTGGTGCACCAGCTGCTGATGCTTGAGCTAATGCTGTTGTTGTTGTTGTTGTTGTTGATGTTGTTGTTGTTGTTGTTTAGATTCATGTAATTGTTCCTGTAATTTATGTATTGCTGCCAATGATTTTTCCAATTTTTGTTTCAATTCTTTATTCTCTGTTTCACATTGTTTTAATTGTTTTTCTAATTTTATCACTTCTGCTTGTAAACGTTGTATCATTTGTTCTTGTTGTGCCATTTTTTCATTTGTTTGTTGTTGTTGTTGTTGTTGTTGTTGTAATTGTTGAATAGGCATACCTGGCGTTCCAGTTTGTTGTTTTGCTTGTGATGCTTGTTGTATTAATATTGCTGATTGTTCCTGTTGTGATTTGACAACTTTTTCATATACAGCAGACAATTCATCCAGTTCATAACGTAAACGATCACGTTCATCTAGACATTTTTTCATCTCTTGATCAGATTGATCTAATTTTTTCATCATTTTTTTCATTTCATCTTGTAATTGTTGAACTTTTTGCTGTTGTTGTTCGATTATTTTTTGTTGTTGTTGAATCTGTTGTTGTTGAGGTTGTGGTCCTTGCTGCTGTTGTTGAGCTTGTTGTAATGATTTTTCCTTTTCCGTTAACGCTTGTTGCAATTTTTCAATGAATGTATGCAATTCACCAGTATCTTGTTTAAGGCTTTCAATTTCCATTTGTAATCGTTGATTTTCACCATGCGTTTTCTGTAGATCAGTTTCAGCTTTGGTTAAATGTTGTTTAAGTTTTCCAATTTCACCTTGGAATTTTTGCTGTAATTCTTCACGTTGTTGTTGCAATTGTTGTTGTAATTCTTGTTGTGATTTCTGTTTCTCAGCTTGTTGTGCAACAATTGGACCTTGTTGTTGCGGTAGTTGTTGTTGTTTGGAACCAGAAACAGAATCCTGTTTCTGTAGCCGCATTTGCATTTGTTTCAATTCCACAACTAATTGATCACGTTCTTTAGTTATTTTTTGCAATTCAATCTGATTTCTTTCCATTTTATCACGAATCTTTTCAAATTCAATCATTGCTTTTTCAATTTCAGCTTTTTGTTTTTCTTCCGATGTTTTGTTACGTTCTAAACGCATTCTTGATGCATCTAATTCACGTTTCAATGCTTCAACATCTAATTCTTGTTGTTGACGTAATTCTTGTAGCCGTTGCAATTCTGTACGTGCATTTTCATATCGTTCACGTGTTTTTTCCAATTCAACATACAATGCTTTAATTTCCATTGCCTGTGCTTCAAGCTGTTGGCTAGACATTCGTTCCATACGATATCTTTCCACATCAGTCTGTAAACGTTGTGATTCTTTAAAGAAACGTTCTTTTTCCGCTGCACAACGATCAAAATCTATTTTAATCTTTTCAAAACGATCTTTATATTTTTCTAATTCAATACGTGCACGTTCCAATTCTAAATGTGTTTTATCCGATGTATTCTGATATTTAACCACTTGTGATTGTACACGTTCTAATTCAGCCTGTAATGTTTCTTTTTCCATAATTACTCTTTCTTTTTCCGTTTGTACTTTACGCAATTCGGCAATGGATTTTTCCGATTTTTCATACATTTTTTCCAATTCGATATGTAATCGTTGTATTTCTTCCTGAGTTTTTTCATGTGTCGACATTGTTGATGCACGTTGATTATGAATACGTTCTAATTCATGTGCCATACGATCACAATCGGTTTGATATTTATCTTTTTCCATTTGTAATCGCCGTATATCACTTTGTGCTTTTTCATATCGTTCTCGCAATACTTCACAGTCCATTAATGCTTTTTCTAATTCGGTACGTAATTTTTCTTCCGAATCTTTACATTTAATCAATTTTGAATTGGTACGTGCATAAATATCCTGTAAGCCTTCAAATTCTTCTTGTGCACGTTTCTGATCTTCTTTAGCTTTTGTTGCTATTGTTTGTGCTTTTTCCAATTCAATCTGTAATCGTTCCATTTCAGTTTGATTTTGATCCATTTTTGCTTGCATTTTAACAAATTCTGCTTGTGTACGATCAATTTTTTCAAGTAAAACTTCATTTTCTACACGAACAATTTCACGATCTTCTTGTAGTTTTTGCATTTGTAATGACATTTTTTCCATTTTTTCTCTCATGGTTCGAATTTCAGAATCACGTTGTTCATGTTCATGTTTATTTTTATCAATCATTTTCTGTGCTTTTTCATATCGTTCACGAAGCACTTCAACATCAGCTTGATAATTTTCTTTTTCTTTATGTATTTTAGCCATTTGTAGCCGCTGTTGTTCAAGCCGTTCTTTCATACGTTCCAATTCTTGTTGTAACATTTCTTTTTCCTTTTGATAATTACGCATCTGTTGTTGTTGACGTTCAAAACGTTCTTTTGATTTGTCCACCTCCATCATTGCTTGTTCACGTTCCAATTGAAATCGTTGCATTTGTTCACGTTGTTGTTGTATCTGTTGCTGTAGTTGGTCAATTTCAGCTTGATATCTTTCCTTTTCTGGCTGTACTTTACGTAATTCTGTTTGAATTTTTTCAAATTTTTCATGTAAATGATCAAAATCTACTTGAACTTTATCCAAGGCAATCTGTGCTTTTTCCGCTTTCATTTGTTCTTTAACTAATTGCGAATGTAACCTTTCGACTTCTTGACGAGATTTCTCTACGTCCCCCAATGCTGATTCTTTTTCTATCTGTGCACGTGTCACTGTTGATTGTACACGTTCGTATTCTTCTTGTAGATTCTCTTTTTCTGTTAATGCATTCTCTAGCTTTGCTTTCAAACGATATATTTCACCTTGTGATCGTTCTAATTTTTCTTGTTGTTGTTCCAATTCAGCACGTGCACGATCCTGATCCGATTGATTCATACGTAATTCAGCCTGTGCACGGCGTAATTCTTGTTGTGTTTTTTCCAATTTTTCATTCAAACGTTCAATTTCTTCTGCAGATTTTAATGATGTTGAACTAAAATAACCACTTGTTTTCGAACCGGTTGCTAATTCACGTTCACGATCCCATTCACGTGTTTCAGTGAATCGTGATGAATCACGTTCCCAATGTCCGGTTGTTGTACCGGTTGCTGTGCTGGCGGTACCTGGACCACCACCAGTTGGTCCAGTTGTTGCATGTTCTTTCAATCGTTCCAATTGTTCACGACAACGATCATTTTCTAGTATGAAACGTGCATTTTCACTTTTCAAACGATCCATTTCTGTTTGCATACGCCATGATTCTGATTGTAATTTATCTAATTCAGCTTTACATTTACCCAATTCGGATTGTGAATTTTCTAATTTTACTTCAACACGATCTTTTTCCGAAAGACTTTTTTCCAAACGAATCTAGAATTTTTTGAACGTAAAAAAAATAATTCTAAATAAATCGGAAATGAATTCATAAATGTATTAATGTACCTGTAATTTTTCCAAATCATTTTCCACTGAATGAAATTTCATTTTAAATTCAGCAATCTGTCGTTCATGTATATCTCTTTCTTCATTACGTTCTTGTTCGGCACGATCACGTTGTTCTCTTAGATTAGATATCTGTTTATCTTTATCGCTAATAGCATCCTCTAGGCTGGTCAATGCACCTTCCGATGTTGAATGATGTGCTTGGATTGCATTCAATCTTGCACGACAAATATCGATTTGATTGTCTTTTTCTTTCAATAATTCTTCGAGATTTTCAATCTATGAAATAGAAACAAAATGCCATTGAAACATTCATTGATTCATTCACAAATCACAAACCTTTCGCTGTAGAACATTTATTTTACGATCTTTAATTTCAATATGATCTCTTAGTTCTTGTATTTCTTGATTCATTTGTTTACGATCCTGTGATGTCATCATTGTTTGATGTGTTTTCTTTTCAATCAATTTATTCTTTTCCTCTAATCGTGAACGTAATTCTTCCACCTATAGAATAAACATATACAGTGGTCATCTGGATAATTGGAAACCAAATCGAAACAAACAAAAAAAAACACTTACATCAGCCTGTAGCATACTATAATGTTCTTCTTTAGCAATCAATGATTCTTTCAACACGGCAATATGTCGTTGATAATCTTGATGTTGTTCTTCCAATGTTTTCATTTTGGCACCTAATGCCAATATTTCTTGATCACGTTTCGATAATTCTAATTTCAATTCTTGATTCTTTATAAGTTAAAATGAAAAACAGAATGATCAACAATCAATTTGTTCAATTAGATCAAAAAGAAAAAAATCGATTACCTTTAATATTTCTTTTTCTTTTGTTTCAAGTACATTTTCCAAATGTCTAAGTCTTGTTTCAAGCTCAATATTTCTTGTTCGTAATCTTTCATATTCAATACGTTCTTCTTCCATTATTTTTGAACTATAACCTTTTGCTTGCATCATGTCCATTAATTTTTTTATCGATTCATCACGTGCAGCTAATGTTTGTTTCTGTGTTTCAATACGTAATTCCAATTCCTAAGAGAAAAATAAAAATTTTTTTTGAAAAACCAATAGTTAATAACAATTTTGGCCACTAGATTGCTCTGTGTGTATGTGTGTTTTTTCATTCGAAAAAATAAACGAGCAAACGAAATCATTAGAAAAAAAAATTAGAATCAAAATCACCTTGTTCGTTTCACGAAGTAGATAAATTTCTTTGGACATGTGTTCTTTTTCCATATAAATAGCGTCCAAATGTTGTTGTATATCATGATCCGGATTACGCATATTAGCTATCCGTAATTCTTCTTCCAATTGTCGTATCAATGCAGCTTGTTTCTATTAATATACATATATACAAACGAAAATATAATTTAAATTTTCATTATTAATGATTGAAATATTGAAATTTCGAATCATCATGATGATGATGATGATTATATTTACCTGATTTTCTGATCGTAATATTTTAAGCTGATCATTGATCAAGGCATATTTGGCGGCTTCTTCTTTACGTAGGGCACGTTCTTTTTTTAATTCTGGACTCCAAAATGTTTTTATACTATGCATACATGATGCTAATTTTTGTGTTGTTGCTTCTAGCTCTCTTTTAACATGATTATATTGTATTTGTAGATCATTTAATCGTGCTTGTAATTCCATTATAAATTGATCGTTTGTTGCCGATAAACGTCCACTAGTAGGTGGTAGACCAGTACCAGCTGGTCCATAAGGCATAACACCGATTCCAGTTTGACCAACACCAACACCACCACCAATACCATGCATAAGACCACCTGTACGTCCGGTAGTTGGATTCATTAATGGATCTCTACCATAACCAATTGGATCATCTAATAATAATGGATCACGTCCATATGGTGCCGATGGATCATCACGCGAATAAAGGGCACGATCTAATGAACGATCACGTTGGCGTATTGACCGTACTGTATCGACACCAGCCATACGATCAAATGACCGATCACGATAACCAGGTTCACGTTCGATTGAATGATAACTTCGCAATGGTGCTCGTCTACTGTTGGCCATTCCACGATGCATTGCACGACCACCACCTGTACCGCCCATTATACCGTCCATCATACCTGGACTTCCTGGATCATCATAATAGGCAGGAAATCCATGACCATATGCTGATGAGGTACTCAATGATTGTGGTAAATGTTCCGCCGGTAATGTTAATGGAGAATTATTATGTGATCTTGATACACCATATGGAAGACGACCACCACTAGCTGTATTACCGCCCATACCAACACTACTACGATGTCTTGATGTAGGTGACATTAGACCACGTGAACCAAAACCGATGGGCGATCCACGTGCTGATGGTGGTTGTGACATTGAATGATTCATTGCATAGGCAGGTTTTGATGGTGAACCACCAACAGGACCACCAGCACCAAATGGTGCAACATCACCCATTGAACGTCGTAATGAACGGGTACGGGCACCTGTACTGGTCATACCACCCGGGCCAACAACACTTCCGTAACCACCATGTTGTGATATACCACCAACGGGTGGACCGACACCACCTACCGGACCACCAGTTAATGGATCCATCATACTACCGGCTACTTGGCCACCATGTAGGCCAGCCGTTGTTGTACCACCGCCATACATTTTTTTCTATTCAATAATTTTTTGTTTTTCAAAACAAAAACAATTTCTGTGGATTGTATATGTGTAAATCAAAATCAAACGGGCAAACAATTGAATCGATTAAGCATTTGGGAAAAAAATGTGGCTAAAATTTTTTTTCCAGATTTCCATGAATCGATTGACATTGGCAGTTGGAATTTATATGCGTTTGTGTCAAAGATTCTGTGGTAGATATAGTTTGGTGTGTAAATTTAAAAAAAAACAACAACAACAAATGAAAAGTGAATTTGTTGAACTTTTCCGGAAATATTCTGAATATATATTGGCTATTATTTTGAATTAGTAGTCATTGATTGTGTGGTCGTTTGTCATCAATAATAATGGTGATATATAATGTTGATGATGATTAGGATGTGAAAAAATGAAAAAAAAACAAAAAATTCTTGGCAGTGATATGAATGACGAAAAAGCGAGAATGAATTCCACCTTTGTCGAAGAAAAGTAAAATGGAACGAAAATTCTTTTGATATTGTTGTTGTTGTTGTTGTCGTTGTTTTCTCGTTATATTTTTTTCTTGGATTGATGTGTGCATCAGACTACACACTGAAACATGAATTAATTGATTGATTTACACTTTCAAACTAATGGACACACACACACACTCACAAACATTCACATCGCTTATAGTGATGAGACCAGAATTTCCTGTTCTTGTTGTCGATTTACTATTCATTTGTTGAAACCCAATATAATAGTTGTGACAAAAAAAAATTTTCGGAGAAAATTGCCCAGAAAGAAATTGTTCAGGAAAAGTGGAAAAAATTGAAAGACAGAAAACAAAACAAATAAATAAATAATTAGAATCAATTTGTAAAAGGTCAAAAAAAAAAAAAAAAAATGGTCATCATCATTATTATTTTAAAAATATTTTTCACTCTCTTGTTTTTGGAATTTGTTTTTTTTTCTCCATTCATTTTGATTGTGTTTGTAACAAAATAATGAAACTTTATGAATTTTTTATATGTTCATCATCAGATCTCAAAGGGCAAGAGATGAAAAAAATTTTTTAAAATTTTTAAAATTAACAAAGAAAAACAAAACAAAACAATCCGTCATTTCCGTCCATAACACACACATGTATACGTAACGGAGAGAAAATGTCACTAAGATTGTAGTTGAAATAAAGTTGAAAAAAAATGATAAATTATTTGATTGATCTTTTTTTGATCGATCGATCTAGCCTATTCTATCTATCTATCTATCTATTTATCGATCGATAGATTGATTGTGATCGATCTAATCAATAATAACATCAGCGACAATGATGATCCATATCTATTCTTGAAAATAGTAGTAATAATTATAATGAAAATAATGAAGATAAAAATTCAGAAATCTAGCCTATTGTAATTGTAGTAGTAGTAGCAGTAGCAGTAGTAGTAGCAGTTACACAGTAGACAAAATATATATATGTTTGAATGATTTCCGTTATTATTATTATTATTATTTAACGATATTTTTGGACAGAATTTTTTTTGTTTTTTGTTTTTTTTATTATTTAAAAATTTACTGGCAAAATAAAACAATTTCAATTTCAATTTAAAATTGTCGAAAAATTTATCAATTTTTTTCATCAATTTCGTTATTTTTAGACCGAATAATATCGTCACACACACACACACACACACACACAAGGGACCTGTGATTTTTCTTTGATTTTTTTTCACCTGGTTATTTTTAGCTAAAGAAATTCTCAGTATTTTTTTTTTTTTTTTTTTGGATCATTCGCCTACACACTGAAACATTGAAATCTATAATTCAGTGGAAAATCATCATCATGATTAAAGGATTCTATATTTATTCTAGCACGTGTGTGTGTGTGTGTGTGTGTTGTTTGTCTAGGCTTTTTGAATATTTTTTCGCCTCTTGTTGTTTTTGTTGTTTAAAATAACAACAACAACAACAACAACAATAACAATGAAAATAAAAATTTCAATTCAATTTATGGAGAGAGACAGAGAGAGAGAGAGAGAGAAAACAAGAAACTTTTTCCATGGAAAAAAACAACACAAACAAAAACTACAATAACAATGATGATTAAAAAATCTCAATTTTGGGTTGTTGTTGTTGTTGTTGATATATAAATTCAAATATTTTACCTTTTTCCGGTTCATCATCATTATTAGCCAAATTGTTTTCATCATCAAATTAAAATCAAAAAACAAAACAAAAAATCGGTTATTGATGGACCATCGATTTATGATTTTATGTTGATTTATAGTCACTTATTATAATCATTGATATTGATTGATTATACTCCTTCTCCTACATATTTAATGAATAACAACGACAAGCCACCAGATTCACACAAATGAAAACACACACACACACACACACACCACAAGCACAAACTATAATATTTGTGATATTTGATGATGATGATGATGATAAGTATTTAATTTTTGGCTGATTTGTTTGGATTTTTTTAATTTATTTTTCTTGAACACAATTATAATATAATTTTAACCAATGTGAAATGTTGATGTGATTATGATGATGATGATCTCAATCTGATTGATGAATAAATTGAAAATCGTTGTTACCATCGCTAGATCATGTGTCTGTCTGTATGTCTGTGATGTGATGATGTTTTTTTTGTTGTTGTCGTTGTTGTTGTTGTTGTTGTTGTTGTTGTTGTTGTTGTTGTTGTAGAAGTTTTGTATCGTTTTTTTCTTGTTTTTTTCCTTTTTTCCATTGAATTAAAGTGATAACATTTAGTGGCAAATTATTAATGATAAAAATGACAATGATGATGATTTCTATAATGATGATGATTCATAGGTTGAATTATCATCATCATCATTCAACATAATTCACTCAAAAATGATTTACAAAAACAAAAAAAAAAAAAAACAATGAAACAATGGGAAAAAAATGCTGACCAAATCGAGAAAAAGTTTTTAAGAAATGCATTCAAAGATTGACAGAAAAAAAACACACATTCATATGATAAAGATAAAGAACAAGTAAGGGGAAGAATAAGAGGGAGCAACAGAATAAAAGAAAAACTTAAGTCCGAAAGAAAAACCCAAACCAAACCCAACCGACCGAACCTATGATGATGATGATGAAATATGATGATGAATGCACAAACAAACACAAACACACACACACACACACATACACATAGTGGGTGAGTAAAAAAACCCAAATTTTGTGAACAAACGACCCAATTGGATGTTGAACGATAAAATACCGCTTTTTCAAGAATGTAAAGTAAAGAGGGATTAGGGTGGTAGAGGAGGATTGTGAATAAAATTGAGAAAAACTAAAAAAACAACCAACCACCATAATACACACACTAATAATGTGTGTGTATAATACAATCAAAAAAAAAAAAAGTTGGGAGCCTCAAAAAAAATGAAGTGGCTGAACGAACATCAACATACCACCATCACAATTAGGTTCTGATAACCAAAAATTCTATGATAGTGGTATGTAAGGGGGGTTTCAAATACAGAATGATGAAACAAATTTTCTTTTCAACAAAACCCAAAAAAAAATCGAGAAAGGGGAAATAATAAAAACCTATATTTGTCGCCACCACTACCAGTAATTATTACGATTACCGTACCAATTGGAACTATCCCCATATATATATAGCTCAGACCACTACTAATTCTGATGGCTCCTAGAATGTATTTTTGTGAAAGAAAAAGGAAAAAAAAATATTTACCGTTTCGAACACAATACCCTCACTACCAATTTTATTTTCTAATCTTGAACTATATACACACACACAAAGAGGCACACTGTTATGTAATAATTTTCAGTTCAGAAAGAAAAAATTGGGTTATCAGTGCATGCGTTATACAAAAATATCACAATTGAATTGGGTTGTCGGTTGTTTTTGGTTAGGTTAGTTAGTTAGTTGGACGCCAGTCAATGGCCAATAAACATTGTTTGTACTATTTTATCACATTTTTTTTTCATTTGATTGCTGCTACTTTTAATTTTGTACCTCTTATCATGGATCCATAATATTCTGATAATGGTGAAAATGATGGTGCTGGTGGTGGTGGTGGTTGTGATGATGATGGCCTGTCCTTGGGATTTTGTCCTGAATTGGATCCAGAAATTTTTTTTTTTTTTGTTCACCATCATCATGGTTATTTCTCATTGATTTCAATGCTACTTCTAACAGCCATCAAAAGCAAGCATACAACAACAACAACAACAACAAATATAAATATAGACAACAAAGTTGCAGCAATCAAAAAAATATAGTGGTTCCAAGGACATTTTCAACAAGAAATATATCGGATATCCCGAAAAAACATACACATACATACAGGAAAATCTTTATAAAAAAGGGGAGTTGTCATTATTATTGTTATTCATTTTATACATATATATATAGCTACTTGAATCATATTCATTCATTCATGCATTTATAAAAAATGAGTAAGGCCGGAAAAAACATGGACCGAAAAGCCGAGAAAATGAAATGAAAAAAAATATAAAATGAAATCCTAAAAATGAAGTAGAAAAGAATCGAGGTCGTAGGACATGAATATACACAGACACACACACACACCAAACAATGATATATGTCATATAGAATTGTATATTTCCATTGAAAGCAGATTCTTTACTCGTATGAAAATGAATAACAAGGACATGAAACTATGAGATTGGAACCGACAAGAGAGAAGAAAAAAAAGATATGATTCTTATGATGAGATGATGATGAAAACATTATGAATCATGTGCATTTAGAATGAAAATGAAAATCAAAATGAATGAATTTTTATAAATTTTCCTGAAATACCTATTATGCGTAAGAGAAAATTTTCGTTTTCTTTTTTCATTATTATACAAATAAATAAACACGGAACAAACAGCGGCCAAGAATTTTCTTTTTTTTCACAGAATTTGGTTCCATTCCTTTTGATTTCGAAATTTCACTGGGGAAAAAAATTGAATGAATCAATTTTAAATTTAAAATACATTTTTTTTGGTTTGATTTATAAATTCATGAAAATCATTTCAACAACAACCATTTGCTACCATCCTCGTCATCATTTTG